TTCTACTGCCCCTTTATCTCATCCCCATCGTGTATCCAAACCACCATCTTACCTGAAAGATTATCATAGTTACCTGGCTGCACACTCTTTCTCTATTACAGATGTCCCATCTTCCACCTCCACTTCATATCCTATCTCTTCCTCTCTTAGTTATCACAGGTTGTCTTCTCCATACCGTCACTACATCTTATCTATTTCCTCTCACACTGAACCTGCGTCCTTTTCCCTAGCCTTTGAGATTCTGGTGTGGCGTGATGCTATGAATGTGGAGCTGCAGGCCTTGGAAAGTAATGGCACCTAGTCTATTGTTTCTTTCCCTCCTGGCAAACACTCTGTGGTCTGTAAATGGTTGTACAAAACAAAATTTTGTACCGATGGTACTATGGAACGATATAAAGGCCGTCTTGTGGCCAAGGGGTTTACACAACAAGAAGGCATTGATTTTCTTGACACTTTTTCCCTAGTAGCTAAGCTTGTTACTGTAAAGGTTTTACTTTCCTTGGCTACCATTTTGAGCTGGTCTCTCACTCAATTAGATGTCACCAATGCCTTCCTCCACGGTGACCTCACTGAAGAAATTTATATGGCCCTTCCTCCTAGTTACACTTGTCGACAGGGGGAGTATTTGCCTTCTAATGTATTTTTTCACCTTCATAAATCCATATATGGGCTGCGACAAGCCTCTAGGCAATGGTTTCACAAATTCTCCATTGTTTTTCTCGCAGAAGGCTTCACTCATTCTGCTTGTGATTATTCTCTGTTCATTAAATCACATGGACATTCTTTTCTAGCTCTCTTGGTGTATGTCGATGATATTATCATCACAAGTAATGATCAAGGAGCCGTGGACAATCTAAAGTCTGCTCTTGGTAAGCAGTTTAAGATGAAAGATCTGAGAGCCCTAAAATATTTTTTGGGTTTAGAAGTTGCTCGTTCAGTTGCTGGTATTTCTATTTGCCAACGCAAATATGCTCTGGAACTACTTTCTGATGTAGGGTATTTGGGATGTAAACCTTCCTCTATCCCTATGGAACTGAACCTTAAACTATCAACTTCTGAAGGTGATTTACTGCCTGATCTTACTAGCTACCGGCGCTTGATTGGGAAGTTAATATATCTCACCATTACAAGGCCTGATCTCAGCTATTCGGTTAACCGTCTCGGCCAATTTTTGGATGCTCCTCGTACTCCACATCTCCAAGCAGCCATTCGCATCCTGCAGTACATTAAGAAAACTCTAGGTCAAGGTCTCTTCTTTCCTTCAAACTCGACAATCCAACTTAAAGCCTTTGTGGATGCTGATTGTGGTACATGTCCGGATACGCGGCATTCACTCACTGGATACTGTGTATTCCTTGGTTCTTCCCTTGTCTCTTGGAGATCAAAGAAACAACAAGTTGTTTCTCGATCTTCAGCTAAAGCTGAATATCGTTCTATGGCCAACACTACTTGTGAGATTGTGTGGTTACTTTGTCTTCTTCTCGAATTGCATGTTCAACATCATGGTCCAGCTTTGCTTTACTGTGAAAATCAAGCGGCGCTTCACATTGCAGCCAATCCCATTTATCATGAGCGTACAAAACATATAAAGATCAATTGTCATTTCGTGCGTCAGAAAATACAGGCCGGGATCATAAAAACCATGCATGTCACCGCTCACAATCAACTTGCGGATCTGCTCACTAAAACCTTACATCATTCGCAGTTTCATCTTCTTTTGGGCAAGATGGGAATCTAAAATTTATATTCTCCATCTTGAGGGGTAGTGCCTGATTCGGCACGGCCCGGTTCGTTACTGTTACGGGCCGTGCCGGCACGACACGTGTAATGGACTAAGGCTGGGCCTCAACTTCTCAGCCCGCGGCCCAAGCACGTGGAGGCCCGCGGCACGGCCCTTATTCGGCCCGGCCCAAGCCCGCGAAACGGCCCACGAAGAAGCCCATTTCATTTGGTCCAGTGGGCCCTTCGCGGGCCCAACGGAAAAAAACTGAATTTTAACCTAAAAATCCCCTATAAATACCCCTTAATTCCACCATAAATCCCACACAACAATTCACTCTCATCTTCTCATCTCACTCTCATTCTATCTCTCAACTTGTCTCTTTGATTTTGATTCTAAGCTTTTTTCTCGCGTTCAT